ATGTACGCTGTCATCGGATTTGAATTCACATTTCGACCTGTCAACCTTATTTTCCGAGTACATCCTTTCGCGAGTGAGATGTTCAAAGACCCAATGAGCTGTCCTATTTCTCCTATCATATGACAATACAAAGTCATCAAATGATCTCACATTGTCAAGTCCAGGAAATCCATATTTCATAATCTACATTGTTAGGAAAGAGTTAAAGACGAAAAAATCGCAAGTATTTATCAATCATTGAATATTGGTTATGAAAATTACCTCTGAAACTCTTGAAGATGATAATTTATTTCCCATATTCAGTTGATTATCAGCTGGAATAATGGGTGATGCTGCCGAAACGGTTCCGAAAATTGGCAAACCGGGCAATCGTTTCAGATTTAAATGACCGTATGCATTGTTTTCTTCTTCAAATCCCAGTCGTTGACAACGTTCATAATATTGTCCTGCATACCAACCGGTAAAACCAGTACCAGCAAGTGCTGATATTTTTAGGGCTAGATGGATAGTATTCTTCATTATGGAATTAACATAGTTCAAATTCTCCTAAAAAATTAAACACTACCAACAGAATTGGAGATCTTTTTCCCACGAAATGGAGCACGTGTCATGAGTATTGTTCGATTTGGCCAGTTAGTATCGATATTATCGATAGTATCGTTTCGATATTAGGTATCGAGTTACACTCGAGATATGAAGAAATTGAATAAATCGGAAGACATTAAATACAGTGCATTTAATTAAAAAAAGGAAATGCTGGAATAAATTTCTATTCTAAAATTATGAAAGTACAAAAATATAGCAAAAATACATGTATTCGCAGAGAAACAATAAATTATCTATGTTCATGGAAATTTTACGGTTTGAATTGACTCAATTCAAATGTTTTCTTCATCTGAAACATTGGCGAGGAGTGTTTCATGGCCAGGAAGCATTTTTGGATCAAAAGTGTTCTCGAAGCACCTCTTGAAAATAGTTTTGGCTCTTTTGGCCGGTGGTGGAGGCGAGTCTGGTACGGTATCGTCATTCTCATTGTCATCCTGAGAATCTCTGTGACGACGTTCCAATGGATTGGGAAATAAGGATGTTCTTCTAGGTATTGCACTACCTGAGGACTGAACAGTGGAAATTGTCGATATCCTTTGAGATTTAGCAGTTGAAACTCCATTGCTGGTGGTTCTTGAATCAATACTCGTTGATCTAATTGCTGAAATCAGCTCAGGTTCATCAATAATCGAATTGCCTGGATTTTTATCTCTCTGATGGACTAATGCCAAAATATTGCCAAAAGTCTCTGCAGTCTTGGTTGATCGTTCAATATTATTTGCTTTTTTCTTCTGGGCAGTTTGCTTCTTCGATTTTGCGGCGGTCCTCTTCTTGGATGTCTGCCTTTTATCTCGAATTGTGGTATCAGGTGGGTACTGATTCTCCGGATCAAGTGTTGAGAGGACTAGATGGGCCTCGAATGCTGCACTTTTCAACAGGAATATCACTGGTTTTCCAGCGCTTTCAAAATGAATCCTGAGCTGAGTACCTACCATCTCTGCAAACGTCAATATAGCTCTTACTTCCTTCAAACAAAATGTTAAGCAAGCAGCTTTATCAATTTTGTAGGATGTAAATTCACCAATTGCCAAGGCCAGCTGAGTCCTCGTCGCATTTGTACTACCTGCAGTCATAAACAATATCAATTAAATTAATTCCTCCATTCTCTTTTCATATTCATTATCTTTTTAACTCACTAGAGGTGTCATCGATGTAATTTCTCATCAACATTTTATCAGCACTAACGTCCAGTGTAATTTCAATGAGATTCTGTTGAAAGTTGTGGAGAGCATTTCCGAGAATACTTGGATGAGCAATAATTTGGTTGGAGGCTGTGTCTGTGTCATATGACGCCTGAAACCCAATCGAGATTAATCCCTCTGTACAAATTGGAGAAGAAAATTATTTGTGTTCATTCGATACCTGTAATGCTTCGCAGTCGATGATGGGTAATAAAAATCTCTTGGTGACGCTGTTTTTGTACTTCAAGATTATCATCAGTTTAATAGCATTTGGATGCAGCCTGATCTGGCAACTCTCAATCAATTTATCTAATACACCCGGGGTCTTGAAGACAGCCATTGCAGCCTAAATCATTCAAAAATCAAAAAAATCAATGAAACATTGAAATTTCACAATAGCCGAGGTTCGCAAATAAATTATTAACATATTTATCAGTTACTTACTCGCATGGGGACTTTACACTTGAGTGCATCATTGTCACTGAGATTTCCATAATTATAATGCGTAAAAAAGTGTTCTCCAAAAGTGAAATCACAATAAGCTGAGTTAGCCATGCTTACTGAACGAAATGACAGGCTTCTCTCCTGTGGCATAACATACATCTCCTCTCCAATTTTTGCTAAAGCATGAAAAGCTCTCGCCATAACTATAAAAAAAAACATTAACAAATTCCATGAGAGTGATTTCAGATAATTTTCAATGCAAAAAATCATTGAGTACAACATAACCCATACATTACAGTACATACCTTTCACATTGGCGCACGGTATGACACATTTCATTATTACACGATATAATTCTCAGCAATGAAATTAGATTTATATATTATTCAGCAGACGTGTTTTATTTTATTCCACAGTCTGAATTATTTCCCGCTCTTTCTGTCACTGTCACTGTGTCAAACTTGACAGGACATGATCGACTCCATTGGGCTGTTACACATCGTGCAATAATAATCATAGCAACAATAACAATGAACAACTGTAATGGCTGACAATGCAACGCCCGGCGATGATCCACGATCAATATGTCAAATTAATGTATTTGTTTAATTATTATTGATTATATCGATGTCCACGAAATTTTATAATAATTAAACAGGCTGCAGAATAAAAATATCTTGCAATAATGACTGCCGGGGTGAGTATTAATTGGTTATGAGTGGCATCGGGAACGTATTATGAAATATCGTGATATTTTTATGAACAGAAATTATTCAGCAGGAGTGATTTTGAAGTAGATAAATTGATAGAAGGTCCGGAAGATGGAAATGTTTCTTTAGAGAGTCCTCCTCAAGTACTCAAGGTTGTTCAATATACACTCACCAGTATTATCGTAATTATTCTTTTATCGATATGCATTCGATTAATCTATAAAGATAATCTCCTAAAAAGTGGGATCGATGCTGGTAAGTTCAATTCTTCCGATTAAGAACAATCCTTGGCAAGAGTTGAAATAATTATCAATTGATTTTTTTTTCGCAGTAATGATGGCATCTCTCTACTACATGATGATCCTGATATGTGGCTTTATCATTCGAACATGTAATTTTTTATCAGAAATTCAATTCGCCAAAACGCATTATGAAAATGGAATCACGAGCGTTTTGAAGGCCACCTTTGAAATAAATGGACAGTCCATTTTTCTGATGGT